AATTGTGACCATTTTCTTCATTTGCTCCCTCTTGCAAATATGGGATACATATGAGCTCCTAGACATAACCTCTTTTTTTCCTTTATACATACTACAAAACTACTTAATTTTAAGGCAAGTTGTTCACACTTCTTAAATCAAGATTCTTATCATTAATTTCAAAAGAAATTCCCCAGCCACCAGGCAAGACTAAGGTTGCAACAGATTTATCACTGCCTCTATTTGCTAGAATTTAGCCAAACTTAACGGTTACTCATCAAATTATCTCATATTGAGGTATTTTTACTATTAGTATTCAGTTCACTGAATTTAAAATCCAATCTGATGCCCTCATATGGTGATTACATAATTTAAAAATGATGCAATAAAAAATTACCATATGCAACAAGCATGCAATATCTCGGCCTATGATTAAATCAATAACCTATCCTATATGTGCCTCACGAGCTTCCCCTAATATTAACAACTTGTATAAGCATAGTACAAAATTATGAAAACCAGTAATGAATACCAGGCACAATATTATAATTAACTACAGACATTATTAAAATTTCACCAGTTTCCCCACTGATATCTTTTTTCTAAATTATTTTTATTTTTTTAAGAGACAGGGTCTTGCTACGTTTCCCAGGCTGGGGTGCAGTGGCTAAACACAGGTGCTATCCCACTACTAATCAACCTGGGAGTATTTACCTACTCCATTTCTGACCTGGGCTGATTCACCTCTCCTTAGGTAACCTGGTAGCCCCCTGCTCCCAGAAGGTCACCATATTGATGTCGAACTTAATGCAGACATCCAATCTGCACAGTGCCCTACAACCCAGAACTCCTGAGTTCAAGCAACCCACCCACCTCGGCCTCCTAAGTAACTGGGACTACAGGCCCACTAATACCTTTCTTCTGTTCCAAAACTTTACCCAGAATCCCACGTTGCATTTAGTTGTTATTGCTCCTTAGTCTCCACGAGTCTGTAACAGTTCAGTCTTTGTATCTTTCATGAACCTGACACTATTAAAGAGAACTGATTATTTTGTAGAATGCCCTTGAATTTGGGTTTCTCTGATGTTTTCTCATGACTGGAATGAGATTATAGATACATGGCAAGAATATCACAGAAATAATGTTATATCCCATTCAGTGAATTGTATCAAAGGGCTCCTGATGTCAACTGTCTTATTACAGGTGATATGAAATTTAGTGTTTGGTTATGGTGGTATCTACTGGGTTTCTCCACTTTAAACTTAGTATTTTTTCCATTTGTACTTAATACAAATTTGAGACCATGCAAAAATCCTGCTTCTCAAGTTTTTGCCCACCAACTTTGGCATCCATCAAAAAAGCTTGTCTGTAATAATTATTATTAGAGATTGAGGCACCAGCCATGTTCACTGCTATCTAAGCATCAATGCCTCTAGGGCTTCTCAATATAAAAAGCCATAAATACCGCACATGGGCTAGGCATGGTAGCACACGCCTGCACTTTGGAAGGCCAAGGCAGGAGGAGCGCTTGAGGCCAGAAGTTTGACACCAGTCTAAGCAACACAGCATAATCCCATCTCTACAAAAAATAAAAATTAAAAAATTAGCTGGGTATGGTGGTACACACCTATATATAGTCCCAGCTACTTGGGCAGGATTATTTGAGCCCAGGAGTTCAAGGCTACAGTCAGCTATATGATTCTGACACTGCACTTCAGCCTAAGCGACAGGGCAAGCCCTTGTCTCTTAAAAGAAATAGTTTTTTTAAAATAATTAAAAATAAAATCCAGTATATGTACACATATTGACCCATAAACACATACTGACATTTCTGCATGTATCTGTCAATATTAAATGCAATGAGTTCATATCTCTGATTCAAATCCAATACCACAGGATTTTAATTTTAGCCATTCATCTTTCTTTAATAATGAGAAACCTGGGTCTCATTATCTACAATATACAGTCACACCTTGGTATGTACAGGGGTTTGTTTCCAGAACCTCCCTCAGACACCAGAATCCACGGATGCTGAAGTCCCTGACATATGATGTAATATTTGCATATAACCTATACACATCCTCTTACATACTTCAAAACATCTCCAGATTACTCATAATATCTAATACTGAATATCTAATACATGAAAAGACTATGTAAATAGTGGTTATGCTGCACTGTTAAGAAAATGACAAGTAAAAAAAGTCTGTTCATGTTAGCATATACACAATTTTTTCCCCAAATATCAATCACAATTGGCTAAATCCATGGATATACAATCCACAGATACAAAAGACTGTACGTACTAACCTGTTCATCTAAGTACACATACACACAAAGTAGTTTAAGAACAATAAGCTCATATGCCTAACTATCTTACAGAATTTATGTATGGTTCTTATTACCATTATGACATCCAGTCAAGATACTATTTTCCAGTTATTTCGGTTCCCTGTTTTCTTCCCTATCCCCTTTTAATGTAATTATGTTATTCATCTGTAAGAAAATTCAGTTAATTTATTGTATTTTTTAATCCTATTTTGCAATTCACCCCTCATATTGTTTGGTTTTAATGATTTACTTTTTGCTTACACAAGGGGTAGGTACAATTTCAAAAAGTCTAGCTGTCATGTCTAAATTTAAGAGGAAAAAGCTGGATTCAGGTAAGACTTTATGTTAAGGTAGAGAGGGTTTCCTTATCTTTGTTAAAAGTAGAATAATCTGGCTGGGCATGGTGGCTCACACCTGTAATCCCAGCAATTTGGGAGGCCGAAGCAGGTAGACCACCTGAGGTCAGGAGTTCAAGACCAGCCTGGCCAACATGATGAAGCCCCATCGCCACTAAAAATACAAAATTAGCTTGCTGTGATGGTGTATGCGTGTAATCCCAGCTACTCAGCAGGCTGAGGCAGGAGAATCACTTGAACCCGGGGGCAAAGGTTACAGTGAGCCGAGATCACACCACTGCACTGGGAAACAAGAGTGAAACTGCCTCAAAAAAAACAGCCAGTCACAGTGGCTCATGCCTGTAATCCCAGCACTTTGGGAGGTCGAGGTGGGAGGATCATGAGGTCAAGAGATCGAAAGCATCCTGGCCAACATGGTAAAACCCCATCACTACTAAAAAATACAAAAATTAGCCAGGCGTGGTGGCGTGCACCTGTAGTCTCAGCTACTTAGGAGGCTGAGGCAGGAAAGTCAAGTGAACCCAGGAGGCAGAGACTGCAGAGAGCTGCAATTGCGCCACTGCACTCCAGCCTGGCGACAGAGCGAGATTCTGTGTTTAAAAAAAAAAAAAAAAAAAAGTATAAGAGATTTGAACATGTTATATAAAAAGGAAAGAAAAATAAGTTTTTAAAAAGGTCCCTGAGGAAGGCACATTAATGTTTCAAAGTTGTAAAAAAATATAGTGGTTCTCAAGCTTTTAGATATATCTGAATAACCTGGAGGATTCCTGGTGGCTGGGCCCCACCACTATAGCTTCTCATTCAGTAGTTCTGCGGGGAGGCTTGAGACTACATTACTAACAATTCCCTAGGTGAATGTTAATGCTGTCTGTCCTGGGAATATAATTCAAAAATGAATTGGGTAGAGTAAAATCACATAGAAATATTTATATATTAACTCAGGTACAAAAATGTGGGAAAAAAACATCAAAATATACAGAATATCACCTCTCTGCAGACCAGAGAAGCTTCAAATTTGTTCATGGTTTTTCACGTTTTTCTTTACTTTTACATCCCCATGAGCACCTTATTTTCTTATGACAAGCACTTTTTATTTTTAAAACAAACATTATTTTCAAAAAGATTTCTAAGTTTGCTTCAACTATCATAGCTTTGTTCACAATATTTCCTAACTAGTATAATTTCTGAACCTTTAAAAAATAATGTTTATACCATTATATTTTGCAATTAAATACCACAACCACAAGGTGAGTTGTCAATTTGGGTTTAAACATCTTGAATTAACCACTCTCCCAAACATCCTTACTTAAACCTAAAAGATTTTAAGCTGACCATCAAAACTTTTTTTTTTTTTTTGAGACGGAGTTTCGCTCTTGTTACCCAGGCTGGAGTGCAATGGCGCGATCTCGGCTCACTGCAACCTCCGCCTCCTGGGTTCAGGCAATTCTCCTGCCTCGGCCTCCTAAATAGCTGGGATTACAGGCATGCGCCACCACGCCCAGCTAGTTTTTTGTATTTTTAGTAGAGACAGGGTTTCACCATGTTGACCAGGATGGTCTCGATCTCTCAACCTCGTGATCCACCCGCCTTGGCCTCCCAAAGTGCTGGGATTACAGGCTTGAGCCACTGCGCCTGGCCTTTTTTTTTTTTTTTTTTTTTTTTAAAGATAGAGTCTCACTCTGTAGCCCAGGCTGGAGTGCAGTGGCAAGATCTTGGATCACCACAACCTCTGCCTCCCAGGTTCAAGCGATTCTCCTACCTCAGCCTCCTGAGTAGCTAGGATTACAGGCACGTGCCACCACGCCTGGCTACTTTTTTTATTTTTAGTAGAGACAGGGTTTCACCATGTTCACCAGGCTGGTCTTGAACTCCTGCCCTCAGATGATCTGCCTGCCCACCTTGGCCTCCCAAAGTGCTAGAATTACAGGCATGAGCCACCGCCCCCAGCCTCAGAAATCTTTTTTAGACATTATCAGAAGCACAAAGATACATAAAGAAATATTCATAGTAGAGTTATACACATGACAAAATAAAAACTAAGAGCAACTCAAATATATCCATCTCTGGAAAAATCGATGTTCACAGCATATTCTTACAATGAATTACTTATAATAATACCCAAAACCCTTAACTTCAAAGTGTTCGTATTCAAAGTGCCCTTAACCAGCTAAACTAACAATAGCAAAGAATTATGAAGTAATTCACTGTATGTGGTTAAAATAGGCAATTTTCCTATTTCTTCTGTGATACTCAGCTTACACAACTTGTAACCGGTATTGGGGAGTCTTATTAATAAGACATGTATCCATGTTTCTTACAATTATCTTCGTTTACCTTAGTTGTATTTGCTTCCGTTTTTGCAGCTCTTGGTTTCTGAGTTCTTCCAAGCGTCTGAGTTCTTCTTGACGCCTCATTAGATCTATAAAATAATGACAGCATATTAATATTTTTAGTTTCACTTTCCATATTTTTCCAATACGCACAGAGGTTCTCTATCACTGACAACATACTGATATATTAGTCATTTTATAATAAATTGTAAGCTGAGTAATTAATCAAATAAATATACTTTCTTAACCATTTCTTCGTGTATATATAAAAAAAGAGTATTCAAGTTCATTCTTGGCCAGGCGCGATGGCACACCTGCAACCGCAGTACTTTAGGAGGCCAAGGCAGGCAGATCATTCAAGGCCAGGAATTCGAGACCAGCGTGACCAACATGGCAAAACCCCAACTCAACCAAAACTACAAAAATTAGCTGGGCATGGGGGCATGCGCCTGTAGTCCCAGCTACTCAGAAGGCTGAGGCAGGAGAATCATTTGACCGGGAGGTGGAGGATGCAGCGAGTCAAGATTGCACCACTACACACACTCCAGCCTGAATGACAGAGGAAGACTCTATAGGAAGGAAGACAGGAAGGAAGGAAGGAAGACAAAGGACGGACGGACGGAAGGAAGGAAGGAAGGGAAAGAAGGGAAAGAAGGAAAGGAAAGGAAAAAGGAAAGGACGGGGACGGGGACGGGGAGGGGAGGGAAGGGAAGGAAGAAAGAAAGAAAAAGTTCATTCTTGTTGGGGGGAAAAAGCCTAATAAAACTCATCTTGGCTTGGCACGGTGGCTCACACTTACAATGCCAGCACTTTGGGAGGCCCAGGTAAGCAACAGAGTGAGTTGACTGCATCTCAAAAAAAAAAATTCATCTTTATGTCAAGAAATTAAAATAGGTAGGCTGGCTTGTGCCTGTAACCCCAGCAGTTTGAGAGGCTGAGGCAGGTGGATCACTTCAGCCAAGGAGTTCGAGACCAGCTGAGCAACACAGTGAAATCCTGTCTACAAAAAATACAAAACTTAGGCCCAGGCGTGGTGGCTCACAGCTTAATTCCAGCACTTTGGGAGGCCAAAGCAAGTGGATCACCTGAGATCAGGAGTTTAAGACCAGCCTGGCCAACATGGCGAAACCCCGTCTCTACTAAAAATACAAAAATTAGCTGGGTGTTCGTGCCTGTAATTCCAGATACTCGGGAGGTTGAGGCATGAGAATCACTTGAATATGGGAGCCAGAGGTTGCAGCGAGCCAAGATCATGCCATGCACTCCAGCCTGCGTAACAGGGTAAGACTGTCTCCAGAAACAAAACAAAACAAACCAAAACAAAAAGTTGGCCAATCGTGGTATCACATGCCTATAGTCCCAGCTACTAGGGCAGCTAAGGCACAGGAGGATGTCTTGGGCCCAGGAGGCAAAGGTTGCAGTGAGCCAAGATCACACCACTGCACTTCAGCCTGAGTTGCACAGCAGAATTGCCTCTAAATAAAATAAAATAGGTTGTAACTGTTTTAACATAAGAGCTGATACATACTAAAAACAGAATAAATAATAACTATATCAACTCATTTTCGCTTATAATTTCATAACAAATTGTTTTCAGCAGCAAATGCAAAGCCCAAAAACATGCCTTCAGAGACACCAGCAGAGGGCACTTAAGAACCAGACCAGACAAACAGGAATAATGACATAAATCCCAAGGACCATCCCTGGAAACACAATTAGCATGACATTCCTCCCTCACTAAGCCAATGTCTTATGAAGAAGAGTGAGAATTCTTGAAGAAAGCAAAGCTAAATGCTGATATCAACAAGACTTTTCAACAACAAAAAAGCATTTCCGCTATCACCAATCCCTGTCATATAAAGAACGAGCGGAGCTCCAGAGTAAGATAAGGAAAAGCACATTCGTATTGCACATCCGAGTAGTGTATACACGTTCCACATCAAAAGTCTCCAAAGCTGCTCTGCTGCCCTGTCCTTTTCCCTGCCCTTCCTCCCTCCCTCCCTTCTTTCTTTCTCTCTTTTTCGTTTTTCTTTTTTTTTTTTTTTTTTTTTTTTTTTTGAGACGGAGTTTCGCTCTTGTTACCCAGGCTGGAGTGCAATGCCGCGATCTCGGCTCACCGCAACCTCCGCCTCCTGGGTTCAGGCAATTCTCCTGCCTCAGCCTCCTGAGTAGCTGGGATTACAGGCACGCGCCACCATGCCCAGCTAATTTTTTGTATTTTTAGTAGAGACGGGGTTTCACCATGTTGACCAGGATGGTCTCGATCTCTTGACCTCGTGATCCACCCGCCTCGGCCTCCCAAAGTGCTGGGATTACAGGCTTGAGCCACCGCGCCCGGCCTCTCTTTTTCCTTTTTCTTGCTGATTTTATGTAAAGGGCTGGCATTCTGATTGTTCTATTTTCAAGTTTAATTCTTATTTTAAGAAAGTTTCCAAGCAAAAATTAAAAAAAAACAAAAACCTCCAAAGCTAAAAATCTTTGTCTATGATTTTGTACAAAACCATGTATATACACATGCATATATGTTTAAATAATAAAATGTTAAAATACTCTGGATGGCACAATTACAGGTTGTTTTTCCTTTTCTCTTTATATCTGAAATGTCTAACGTGAACAAATTACCTCAATTGAATGTTTCTTAATAAATCCCTATACTCCAGAGTTGACTGATACAATACTACAGCTAAAGTACCAATATTCTAAACTTCACAACAATAGCAAGATACGCATCATAACCATGACAAGGTAAATATAATCCGCCCCATTTTACTGATTAGAAACAATCATTTATAAATTATGCAGGAAAAAAAAAAGGATTCAGATAGATTTTTTTTTTTTTTTTAAGTCAGAGTTTCACTCTTGTCCCCCAGGCTGGAATGCAATGGCGTGATCTCAGCTCACCGCAACCTCTGCCTCCCAGGTTCAAGAAATTCTCCTGCCTCAGCCTCCCAAGTAGCAGGGATTACAGGCATGTGCCACCACACCAGCTAATTTTGTATTTTTAGTAGAGACAGAGTTTCTCCATGTTGGTCAGGCTGGTCTCCAACTCCCAACCTTGGGTGATCCACCCACCTTGGCCTCCCAAAGTGCTGGGATTACACATGTGAGCCACCGCGCCCGGTCAGGATTCAGACAGATTAATTTAAAGTTGCCCCTGCTATTCCATGATTCAAGTGGGATGCCAGGCCAAACCCTGTCCTTATTCCAAAGTAAGCCAAATATAGTTGATCAGACTCACCTGGAAAACTGAAAAATATGCATTTGATCTAGGGCCTCAGCCTGAAAATAGGGAAGAAAAAAAAAAAGTATATATATGTATATATATATATATGCATGCATTTGGGGATGTTGCTAAGAAAAGTCTGTTTTGGGCCAGGCTCAGTGACTCACATCTGTAACCCCAGCACTTTGGGAGGCTTAGGCAGGTGGATCATGAAGTCAGGAGTTCAAGACCAGCCAGACCAACATGGTGAAACCCCCATCTCTACTAAAAATACAAAAATTAGCTGGGTGTTGTGGCGGGCGCCAATAATCCCAGCTACTCGGGAAGCTGAGGCAGGAAAAACGCTTGAAACTGGAAGACAGAGGTTTCAGTGAGCCGAGAAGGCAGCACTGCACTACAGCCTGGACAAAAGAGCAAAACTCTGTCCCAAAAAAAAAGAAAAGTCTGTTCTGGTATATGAGACAGGGCCCAATTAGTTTTGATAATATGCCCGTAAAGAAAACATTCATCTTAAAAAATGTTAAACATGACTGCAATTATTTCAAACCTTTGCAACAAAGTTCTCAATCTTAAATGCTCATTAGAATTACTTAAATATCTTTTTTTTTCTCTCAGAGACAGGGTCTCACTCGTCACCCAGGATGGAGTGCAGTGGCATGATCACAGCTCAATAGTCTCAAATTCCTGGGCTCAAGTGATTCCACCTCAGTCTCCCAAACAGCTACCTGAGTCTCCCAAACAGCCAGGACTGACAGGTTATACAAGTTAACAAAGCTGCTTTTAACCTCTCAGATCTTATTACCTCATCTGTAACATCAGTATAATTAGCTCAAAAGGCTCCAAAAATCAAATTATCAAATAAGCACAATTACCTAATACTTAAAACAACTATAAACTTAAAACTACTATTTTATGCTTACTAAATTATATATGTTTTAAAGTTTCTAATACCCAAAGTTCCTGAATTTCACTAGAGCTTATACATCTGTACATTACCATGATAATATCCTTCTAGGGAAAAAAACTGTAAAAAGTACATAACTAGAGACATCTTTCTCTTTTGATCCAGGTAACTACACTCAAGAATTTTTCTTAATAAAGCAAAGGCATCCACAGACATGAAGGTATCATCTACAATACTACTTACTACTTACTAGACCAAATAACACTTTGAAATGCTTTCCTGGCAGGGCGCAGTGGCTCACCAAAGTGGGAGGCTGAGGCAGCCTCCCAAAAATAATTCCAGCACTTTGGGAGGCCAGGGTAGGTGGATAACTTAAGGTCAGGAGTTCGAGACCAGTCTGGCCAACACTGCAAAACCGTCTCTCTACTAAAAGTGCAAAAATTAGCCAGGCGTGGTGGCACATGCCTGTAGTCCCAGCTACTCAGGAGGCTCAGGCGGAAGAATCGCTTGAACCTGGGAGGTGGAGGCTGCAGTGAGCCAAGATCACGCCACTGCACTCCTGTCTAGGCAACAGAGCAAGATTGTCTCAAATTAATTAATTAATTAAAATGCTGTCCCAACAAACTTAATAAGATTATATGCTATAATTTCAAAGTACCATAAATACAGATACAGAAAAGGGGAATATAAACAAATTAAAATTTTGATTTGTAAGACTGTGAGAAAGTGTTTTCTCAATTTAATATTGCACAAGTCATGAAAACTGAATGTTTAACTTCTAACAATTTTATTTTCTAAAAATATAAGAGTTGCATATGCACACCAAAACAGCATATCCAAGGCTGGGCACAGTGGCTCACACCTGCAATCCCTGTGAGGCCAAGGTGGGCAGAATACTTGAGCCCAGGAGTTTGAGACCAGCCTGGACAAAATGGCAAAACAACATCTCTACTTTTAAAAAT